ACTAGGGGCTCCTGGCATCGCTACTAGGAGCAAGAACGCTACTAGGGCCCCTGGCATCGCTACTAGGAGCAAGAACGCTACTAGGGGCTCCTGGCATCGCTACTAAGCCGTGGTTTTGTTTCCGTCGAGCCGCCTTGCGCAAACTTTTTGGGCCTTTGCAGAACAGTTCAAGTTTGGATCCTCTGCATGACGTGGTGAATATTTCCCCCAACCGTTTGTTCTCACGGTAGTTACAAAGTCCCGGTGTTGATCCAGGCGCAGTGAATCATGAACTTTGGACACGTGGTTGTTTTTTGCTGTTGGAGAAGTCTCAGCCAAAATCATCGTTTTTTTTGTGTTGCCAGGATACTATTTTTTACCACCACGCTCACCCCTGGCCTGTGTCCAAGGTATGAGCCGTTCTCTTTGGAAGCCCACCTTGCCGAGTGGGCTCGACTCAGCTTGCTGGGGCGTGACGAACATTTTGTTCGGGACAGCCAGGTTGTTTTCTCCATGCACCTGGACCCACGGCACAAGATTGTGGACCACAAGGTTGAAGCGATTTATTTGTTTTTGTATGACCACCAGAGCTGTGGCTACCGGATGGTGGCCTTCGAACCTTAGCGCCGTGTATGATTTGGCCTGCGAGAAACTTTGGTATGTTTTGTTGAAATCATACAGACAAGCGTTTTCCAAATGAGACTGAAGTTGTATTCTTTTTTTGAAGTTTCTCCGGATAGCATTGTTCGCTGTCCGAGTTTGGACGGTCGCAACCGGTTTGAAGCTTCTGCTTCAAGCAGGGTTTGGAGACTTTTGTTTCAAGCTTGTGTATCCCACGCCGCATCTCAGCGACGGGGAAGAAGAGTGAAAGTAAAGGGCCGACGCTAAGTGGGTCGTCGGTGAAAGACATCAGCATCGGAGACGCTTCTGGGCGTCGTGCGAACGCGCTCTTTGTTTCAACAAGAGCCAGCTGCTAGTTCGGAAGGCGTCGCTTGCTGCCTAAACTTGGAGGGCCAAGGGCTTTTGAATCTTGCTCCCGTCGGCTCATGACCAGCTTGAGAGAGACTTTGTTGTTAAATTCCTGATAGCATGCAGATACCTCGTTTCAAGCAGAGACTGAAGCCGCTTTCGTTTTGTGAAGTCTTTCCAAGAGCCAGATGGTAGTTCGGATGGCATTGTTTGCTGTCCAAAATCGGAGGGCCGGGCTTTGGAATCTTGCTCCCGTGACCTCATGACTCGGCCGGTTTGAACTGAAAGTAACTTTGTTATATGTTATGTTGCTACATGCTAGATATCGTACAGACGGCCCTTGTCCAAGAGAAACTGAAGAGGCCACTTTCTTTAGAGAAAGCTGCTACATCGAATGGCGTTGTTTGCTGTAAGTTCGGAGGTCCGGGTTTTTGAATCTTGCTCCCGTGACCTCATGACTCGGCCGGTTTGAAAGAAGCTTGGTTATATGATATGTTTAGATATCATACAGAGCCCTTTAGAAGAGTGAAGCTGCTTGTTTTGGGATTTTCTTAAGAGCAGGCTGCAAGTTCAGATGGTATGGTTGTTCGAGTTACAAGTTCGGACAGCAATGCTCGGCCAGGTTTGCTGTCCAACAGCGGCGCCGGCTCCCAGTTTCCAGTCAGGAGGTTACAGCAAGCGCCCTGAAGTTTCTCACAGCGAACGTGTGCCAGTGGAGCACACGCACAAGCCTTAGGGGAGAGAGAGAGAGAGAGAGAGGGGAAGAGAACACGCAAACAATCACAACCACCAAGACACAAAGGCTCAGAATAGGACGACACAAAGCCGCCTGTGTTGGCCACGATGAATTCCGATGAATATCAGGAAGGATGGATTTTGTGCCAAAAGATGTTACATATGATGCCAGG